CATATTCAGTCTTCCTGGTTGACACAAATACATGTTGCAAATTACATTTTACACTAGAGTAGCGTCTACATACGGTACGATGATTCAACATACTTGAAACCTCCATGACTGCCACCTTGACTGAGACCCTTACACAGTGCTATCCGTGCACTGTAGGTTTTGCGCGACAAGCATTCCTGGGCAAACCATTAATAAATGGTTTGACTACAAAAATATTCGAATTTACCGAAAAGGTATTTCAGTTTTCACGCTTCAAAATAATTGGGAGCAGCCGAGCAGCGCCCTACCCAAAAAGCCGGAGCAGAGAGAACCGTAACCGCCCAATCCATAGCAACCACGACCGCAGTGTACCGAACTAAATATTTATAAAGATTAACCAAATATTTTTTTACCAAGAGAGTGGTGCATTGCCGCACACTGCACAGTGCACAGTGTACAGTCGCAATTCGCAACAAGTGATAAAAATTGTATGGAATGAGTTGAAACGGGTGAAATGTCCTCCTGATGACCGTGTACCGGTGTATTATACCATAGAACGTCCGTAATTTAAAATAGAAAAAATATGAGTTACATACATATCAGTACGTATTTATAGGTATTTATAGGTATTTATAGCTAATACGTGTAAACCGCATCGAAGAGTGTACATTGTGGCTTTAAATTCCTCCAGATGGCAGTTACAACTTCAGAGGGGGTTAAATGGGTGACGGGAGAGGGAGTATACGATCCCTTTGGGCTGCCGTATGAGCGTACATACACTGCAGACCATTCACATTTTCGGGCGTGTGTTTTCAAGTTTCACAACAACTACGTGCAAATGCAAGCTGGTTTCAACTATCAACCTACTGAACCTAGCTATGCAAGTGGAGGATGTACGTCTCACCAACACAAAATCGTTACATTAAAGTCAGGAGATTCGCTTATGGAGTTAACAAATGAGTTACATGGGAATGTGTCAGATATACAAAGGCGGAGAGTGTGCCTATGGTACAGTGAGAAATACCACGAAGCTCTTTATGTGCTGCAGGAAGACTTATCCAAAGATATTCACTTAATAGAGCAAAGTGAAACCGAAGAACGGAACAATAACGGCGATTCTGAGCCTAATAACGAATTGAGCGTTTTGAATGAAGCTTTAAATGAGTGCAGGCAGATGCGGATGGTCTGGCACATGTGTCACACTTTGTACGCTGTGGCACCTGAAGGACGCTCGGCACAGCTCTATTTCTGGCGTTGGGCTCAGGTACGCGCCATGGTTGAAATTTATGTATTTGTATTATATGTATATGCATAAATATGCATACGTATATATATATATGGATATGTATGTATGTATATGTATATATATAAGTATATATATATATATATATATATATATATATATATATATGTATATATATATATATATATATATATATGTATGTATGTATGTATGTATGTATGTATATATATATGTGTGTGTGTGCGTGTGTGTGTGTTTGTATTTGTGTGTATGTATGTCTGTATATATGTATATATATGTGTGTGTGTGTG